TTGGTGCTGTGATTTGTTTTTCTGTGGTGCTGGCCTCATTCTCCAAGGCTTCATCATGTCAAGACTGCATCTTCTATCTGGGTTACTCTCTAGTCTGTGTGAGGGTTTTTTTTTTCCTTTGGTAACAAGGGTTTAGCCTAAACTGTTCTCAAACTCCTGGACTCCAGTGATTCTCCTGCCTCAGCCTCCTCACTAACTGGGAGGCACACACTGTAATGGTCTGTTCTGCCCCTTTAAGAGACAAACTCTGCCCATTCCCCCTCCCCACTGCCAAGGCAGGCAGATCTTGCTTCTGCTCCAGTCTGAGCTTCTTCTTTTTCTGTCTCTCTCCCAAAGAGGTAGATGATGGCATGGCTCCCCCAAGCCCTCATCTCTATCTGTTCTTCCCCCATCTCCCCTTTTCCCCTTTCCCTTCCATAACCCACTAAATAAATATGCAACCTCACTCTGCATGGTGTGCCTATCCATCTCGGTCTCTCACCTGCCACGTGGCTACCTGCCTGGGGCCCGGCTGCCTTCGTGCCCCACTGCTGCCACTTGGGGACCTGCAGCATTTTATTTTTACCATTACACATACCACCATGTCAAACCTACACCCTGAGTTTTGGTAAATGTGTAATGGCCACTTGAATTATGGTGTGTGATTTGACTCCCAAATCTCTTTGAATAACTTTGCAGTATATCCCACCTTCATGTGTCAATTCTTTCTTTAAAAAGCAATATAAAGCTTGATGTGTGTGGGCGTTTTGTCTCTATGTTCTCCTGTGCATCCCTTGCATGCCTGGAGCCTGAGTAAGCTGGTCTTACTTCCCTAGAACTGGAATTATAGATGGCTTTGAGTCATCGTGTGGGCGCTGGGAATGGAATGTAGGTTCTTTGGAAGACCAGCCAGAGCTATTGACCCAAACTATCTCTCTAGTTCCCAAGTGTGAATTCTTAGTACTATAATAAGAATTTCCTACTCTTGGTAGTTTAAATGGCATCATGTGCTCTTTGTGTATATGTCTTGCTGAGAATGTGGCAAAATTGTCAAAATTTATCTTCCTTAAAAGATTCATTTTAATTATGTTGTGTGTGTGTAATACATATGTGTACATACACAAAGGCCAAAGGTGGATGTTTCATCCTCTGGCACTAGAGTCAGAGGTGGTTGTGAGCCACCCAACATGTGTACTAGGAACCAAACACTTGGTCTTTGCTAGAGCAGCAAATATTCTTAATTCTGGAGCCATCAGTACTTCCTCATATTCCGTTTCTTGAGATGGGACTGTGCTCTGTTTAGAATGGCTTAGACCTTCTAGAGTCTAAGATGTGTGCCACAGTACCCAGCAGGATTCATATATTTTGTTTTGCACTGTTACCTCTTCACTAGTTGCTGAGTATTTTATCCTGTGGACACATGATAGTTTGTTCAGTTTCTCTGTTGATTTTTAAAAATTACTGGTTGTTATTAATTATGATTCTATGGTTCTCATGCACCGCTCTTTGTGTGTATGTTTATGGTTTTTAAAAAACTCTAATGATGCAGTGAGATGCCTAGGTTGTAGAGGTGTGTGTTGGATAAGTGTGAGAACTTATCAAACTTTCTTCTAGAATACAGCTATGAACTGAATCTTATGCTCACACATTAGTGATACTGAGTCCTCACCCTCCATGGGATTGGAATTCTTGCTTGTGATGTTGGGCTTGGGTATTGGTGCTGTGTGTGCAGACATCAGAGAGAAGGTTGCCCTGTGTCATGTTTCTGATTCTTGCAAGGGCCTCTTTCAACCACAGATGGTCCTTATCTTCCTGCTAACCCAGATCCTTAAAGATTCAGGCAGGAATGAAATTACAGGAATATGGATTAGCTGAGTACTCAGAGACAATGGGGCCTCCTGTGCTGTGTATGGGAGAAGCAAGGACTTTCTCTTGAGTGATCTGAGCTGCAGTGTGTGGCGATGGACAGACTTAAGTCTTGGAATCACAGACCTCATGTTATCTCCTGGGTCCTCAGTGACTCACTCTATGTCTTGGGACACAATGTGTGAGCCCCTCCAGTTTCACTGACCTCTACTGCTCAGTGGAGACCAGCGCTGTCTACGCCTTTGCTCTTCAGGGCTCTCCTACACATAGGTCATGATTACAATTCCCAGTGAGCTTTCCTAAGAACCTGACAGCCTGACAGAGATCGCACACAGATTAGGATTTGTTTAGCATGCAGGTCGGGCTTGTCCACAGGTGGGACGTTCTTGTCATGTGATTCATGTTGATTGACATGAATCAGATCTAGAGGATGGTTGGAGATGTGGCTGTGAAAAGATAGCTTTTTCCTCTCATGACCTCTGTATGCACAATCAGTGACTGTGTTTCCTGTCTCAGTTCCCCTAGGATAGGACACAGGGTAAATGATCATTGCCTGCAAGTTAACCTTAAATGTGAGCAATGGACTGACCTTCCACCAAGCAGTGTCTCTGAGTATTTGCCTGTATTAAATAATCCCCAGCCTGGACTACTGTAGGGTAAGGAGCTGCCATTTGTACACTTTTCTCCCATCTCTTTATGGCTCTCCACCTTCCTGTGAGATCTCAGAAGACCATCAGCACAGCTGGCTGGTTGCCTTTCATACCCCTCCACCTATGCCCAGCACACTGAGTCTCAGGGGGAGATGCCCAGGTGACCAGCCTCAGACATGGCTCTCACAGGCTGACGGTCAGCAGGCTACCAGCCTACAGTCAATCATTGTCCTCTGTCAGCTAAATAGGAGTTCAAATTCCAAACCAGTCTATGAAATTCCAGGATTCCTGGTCCAGTCTTGGATGGAGGTCTGGAAAAAAGCTTCGGGTGTTCATGTCTCTGTGAAAAATCTCATGGTTTCGTTAGCCAGGCCCTGCCAGAGTCCTGAAGCGTCTTTCTCAAGGCCATGTTCATTATGAGCATCTAAGACCCTGGGCAGAGTCTGACATGCCTGGGCTGAGTTACCTCATTCCCTCTCTCTGAAGTTGGATTCAAGTCAGGTATTCTGATTTATTACTGTTTTCTTCACTCCGTATTCTGTCCTAAATTCTTGAGTCACAGTGTGGGGACATGACACAGAGTCATCCAGGACTGGCAATTCTATGTGTGAAGTAGGATTAGCTCCACCCATGACCCAGAGTTCTGGAGTCCAGGTCCAGCAGTGTTGTCTGTCACAGGGCAGATGAATGAAGTCAGCAAAGAATAAAGAGTCTGACAATTGATTGTCTTTTAACCAATGATGGCTCTGACTAGCTCAGGCCTTCTTTATTTATTCAAGTTCTAATGCATGAAGTCTGAGCAGTTTCAAATCATTTTCCTTTAATCACTTTGCAAGAATCATTAACATTCATTAACTTTAATTTCTATTCTTCCCCTTCACCTAACATCATTGACTTTTAACCCATAATTTTATCGTGCAAGATAAATGTTTGCATCTAGCCAGGCACATCTTATTCACACTGTGCCCTAGCCAGTAGCAAACATGAGGTTTCAAAGTGAGAGATTTAAAGCCTGTGATTAGTTCTTAACAATATGATAGTTTTATATTTTTGTAATCAACTAAGTGTATTGTCACCCCTAGGATATCTTTTACAGGTGTATGCCAGTTTCTAAGTATTCTGTGTATCACTTTTATGTGGACTACAGTTATACTCCTATTCTTTATAAATTCTCCAATTAGTAGTGATTAATACTTAGCTCTTTAACTGCTGGGACTACATTTCCATTCTTTCTGGAAATTCCTGCATGCACTTGTTTTTTAAGGAAACGGTTAGTGTTAGACTCCTTTATTGATAATTTGACATTAGAAAAATATCTGAATGTTCACATCCTGGTGACAGGGAAATGTCTGATCATTCATGTCCTATGTCTTTTTCTTATATATTCATATAAGTTTTTACTGTCATCCTTTAAGAAATCATTTCCCAAGTTCTTCAGTTGTTTGGAGGATATTGATCTCTTTTGGAACTAAATAAGCAACAATCATTAACTTTAGTGAGTTCTTCCTGCTTTCTCAGGATGACTGCAAAGGCAGCCCGGGGCAAGAGGAGAAACTGGTTTCTGTAACATATCAGAGAAATTTAATTTTTCTGCAGAGTCTTTAGTTCCCAGTAAACTCAGGCACAATCACAACTAACAAAGCAGAACTAAGAGTCACCCTAGGAATAAGCATAACGAAAGTTAGAGAGGCCTGAAGCCCATGCGCCCCTAGGATCAGTGCAGAGGTCTGCAGTATCCTTTCTGTAGGTCCTTGACAAATGGGTGGGATTCTCCAAATGCTTGCCTTCTAAAGAGCTCCATTTGCAAAACATACACACATTTCCCAAGGCAGACAGCATGGCTTCCTCCACCAGAGGTTACAGAGAATTACTTAGGGTGCACATGGAACTGCACAGATGCACTCCTAACCTCAAGGTTTCCCATTATCATATGTAGCATGTAGGCCCCTGCATCTTTCTGAGTGACGTTCTGGAAGAGCAAGGATCCAGTGCTGTATATTTTCTCTCTGCCGCTGTAGGCAGGCCCTGTTTTATTTGTTCTTTTGAATCGTCGAAATCGTGCAGTTTCATTCCTTTTAATCACAGTTTTTCCCTTGTACCAGGAAAAGACTTGGGCAGTCACTGGCAGATTATGGACACGCAGAAGAACATTCTGACCTTCAGCAACGTAGGGTGGAACTGCTTTCACATAACTTGGGTAGTGATGGGAGAGGCTAAGAGGGAAGAGAGAAAAATCTGTCAATTGTATTTGGTAGAAATTTGAAACCTGAATGTGTTCAACTCTCAGCCTTGGTGTGTGTGTGTCCAATGGTGGGGAGTTCAGGAGCATCACCTCTATTCCTCTGTAGCCCTGAATCTTTCCACTGAATGAAACTGTCTTCTTGGGTGTCTGCATAGCTCACCCCTCACTCCCTCAGATCCTTCTGGTGACTTTTACACATTTAGCACATTGTTGATAAATAATTTCCCTCACCCCAACACTATGGGGTAAGAAGGGAGGGGAGGTCACTCATCTATTACAGCCACCTGGATGGGGTCACTCCTTTTGGAACTGACTGGATTGGAGACCTCACACTGATACTCCCCAGAATCCTCCCTCCTGACAGGGTCTATGCTGGGGGTGCTGTTGTTCAGGGACAACTTCATTCTGTCCGTGAGCCCCAGACTCTGGCCATTGAAGAACCAATGGATGGAGATCCCAGTGTCATTTGAGGAGCAGGTCAGGATCACAGAGTCCAGTTCTTTGACTGTGGAGTTGCTGACTTGAATGGAGGGTGTAGTCACTGGCTCTGTGGATAAACAGTGTAAAGACCCAGCTGAGAGTCCTTCATCCTCAGAGACCTCAACCAGCTCACAGGGCCCACAGAATGACATGGCCCTCTGGAAGATCGCATGTTTGGGTGCAAGATGAGATACGTAAGAAGAGAACTGAATCTTCCTCCTACCGAGATTACCCACAGTGACCCCTGACTCAGGGTATTTGTGTAACTTCTACACTTGGAGTATCTTTAGCCCATGTGTCCAGAAATCCCATTGTGGGAATGTTTGTTTTCCCATTTATTTTTGTTCAAATTCTTGCCCACACTTTCTGTGAGTATGATCAGTCAGGCCCCTCTATTATAAATTAGTCTTCTGTTTCTTTCTCATTAAATAATTTGTAATGGGATTAAGATGGCCCAGCTCATCTTAGGGGTGTCAAAGCCTGGAACTCAGGACAGGCAGAAATCCCAAACTAAAGAATTTCTGTTCGAAGAAAACTTTTATTTCCTGCACCATGGATATGAATTAAATACCACGGAGAAGAAGTGACTGGCCACAGTGTGGACACCAATCTGCTATTCTCATCCTCCATACTGATTATTTTTTGAGACAGGGTCACACTCTACAGTTCTGACTAGCCTGGAGCTTGCCATGTAGACCAGTCTGGCCTCAAACTCACACTATCTCCCTGCCTCTCGCTTCTTAGTGCTGGCCTTAAAGGCACACACCGCCACACTTGGCCGAGATTTGTTTTTAAAACCTTGAGAAGAGTGAGGGAGAGAGCATCATCAAGTTGTCAGTGACATGGTGTATGCTGAGTCAGAACCAGGGTCCCAGGTGCCTTCTCCACCCTCTCTTTCCCTCCCATGGAGTCAGAGCTCAGCCAGTCACCCCTGAGACAGGAGCAGAGCTGGGAGCAGAGCTCTGAACTGCTGGTCCTTCGGTGGGGATGGAGTTTTCTCCTCACATTTGAGGGAAAAGAATGTGAGCACAGTTGAAAGCCCAGGATGTTCCTCTCAGTGATGGAGGTCATAAGAAGAAAATGAAGGGGACAGGAAGGCCTGTGTTAGTGACAGAAAGAAATCTTGACCTTAAGGCTCTCCCTCTCTTGGGAAGTCCCTCCCACAACCTGAGGTTTCCAAGGCTGGGAGAAGCTCCTCCTCACACTCCAAGCTCCATCCCTATCAGCCAGGAAAGTCAGAGCAGCAGAAGATCAGACGAAGTAATGGAGAGGATGGAGTTTTGCTTGTTCCCATAGACACTTAAATTCATTTGTGTCTTTCCAGTAAGCCAAAAGACTCCACTCCAAACCTGGTGCTGATATTTCAGAGATCCACTTATCAAGGACTGTGGTCTTATTGAGGAAAGTGACAGAGTTATAGACGAAGCAGGTATAGGATCCACTATTATTAGTAGTGATGTTGGGGATAAAGAGCTCGTGGGAGGATGACTGAATCTCTCCATTGACAAACCAATAGTACTGTGCGGGTGGGTTAGAGGTGCTTGACAGGTGAGGCTGAGGTTTGTCCTTGAATGGAAATGAGTATTTGAGGGGGATATGATCAGGACATCTGGACCATCTGGAGCAAACAGAACAAAGGCACATGTGATGTCAGCAGAGGGAAGGGCAATCCTGGTCTGCAGAAGGCCACACTATCTCTCTGAGCTGCTCTATAACCTCAGCTGAGCAGGTCCCACCCAGAGCTGGGGTGCAGATCAGTAGAAGAGTATTCATGCAGCAGGCACAAGTCCTGATCCATCTCGAGCACAGCACACAAACATCCCCACTGCACACTCACTGTGCACTGAGCCTGAGTCTGAGCTGTCCCCTGTCTCCATCACCCTGAGCCTCTCTAGATAGGGGAAACCCCTCCAGCCCCTTCCAGCTCAATGCTGGGCCTGGCTGCATGTACTTGTGCTGGGCCAGGAGGCCCTGGTCAGCCTAAGTATCTGTGTGGTGGGTCTGTGTCATCAACCAGAGGGGACTGAGTGTCCTAGCTCTAGCCGTTTGCATAGACAGATGTAACTAGGACGAAGCAGATAATACAGTTACTGTTCAGAGTGAATGGGTCACTTCGGGCCTTGCTCACTGGGTTCTGGGTTTCACACTCATAGGGTCCTGTGTCAGTCCTCACAACACTGAGTAAAGTGAGAGTTCTTTTGTCCTCAGACAGCTTCTGCCTGTCACCTTCTGAGAGGCTTTGGCCATTTCTCCTCCACAGGTAGCTTGTATTCTCAGTCTTTGGATCACACATTAATGCTACTGATTCCTTATCCTTTATGGGATTGGAATTGTTGTTTGTTATGCTGGGCTTGGGTAGCAGTGCTGTGTGTGCATACATCAAAGAGAAGGTTGACCTGTGTGATGCCACTGATTCTTGCAAGGGCCTCTTTCAACAGAGATGGTCTCCTATCTCCCCTCAAACCCAGATCCTTAAAGAATCAGGCAGGAAGCAAATTACAGGCAGATGGAGTAGCTGAGCGCTCAGAGACAATGGGGCCTCCTGTGCTGTGTATGGGAGAAGCAAGGGCTTTTCCAGGAGGGAATTGAGCTGTAGTGTGTGGTGATGGACAGACTCGAGACTTGGAATCAGAGACCTCATGTTATCTCCTGGTCCTCACTGACCCATTGCATGTCTTGGGACACAATGTGTGAGTCTCTCCAGCTGCCCTGAACTCCACTGCTTTGTGAGGACCAGCGCCCTCCAAGCCTTTGCTGCTCAGGGCTCTCCTACACATAGGTCATGATTAGTCTTCCCATTGAGCTTCCCTGAGAACCTGACAGTCCGTCAGAGATCACACACAGATCAGGATCTGGCTGCCATTCAGGTCAAGATGGGCTTCAGCTGGGCCATTCTTGTCAGGAATTTGATGCTGACTGACATGAATCAGGGACCCCTAAAAGAAGCCTGATTCTAGGAAATGATCTATAAGATTCCGGGACACCTAATAAGGTCTTCACATTGGGAATGCTGGAGATGTGGCTGTGGACAGATAGCTTGTGCCATCCATGGTCTACGTGACCCTGACTCTTCAGTAACTGTGTTACTGTGTTTCCTGTATCTGTTTCCCTAGAACAGGACAGAGGGAAAATGATTGTTGCCTGCAAGTTAACCTGAAATGTGAGTAATGACCTGACCTTCCATCAAGCAGTGTCTCTTACTCTTTGCCTGCAGGAAAAAATCCCTGGGCTGGACCCCTGGAAGCAAGGACCTGCCATTTGTACACTTTTCTCCCATCTCTTTAGGGCTCTCCACCTACCTGTGAGATCTCAGAAGACCATCAGGACAGCTGGCTGGTTGCCTTTCATACCCCTCCACCTATGCTGAGCACACTGAGTCTCAGGAGGAGATGCCCAGGTGACCTGCCTCAGACATGGCTCTCACAGGCTGATGGTCAGCAGGCTACCAGCCTACAATCAATCATTGTCCCCTGTCAGCTCCAACAGGAAGTCAAATTCCAATCCAGTTGATAAACTTCTTGGGATTCCTGGTCCAGTCTGGGACAGAGATTGGAGCAAAGCTTCTGGTGTTCATTTCTCTGTGAGACTCTCATGATTTTCTCAGCTAGGCCCTGCCTGAGTCCTGAAGGGTCTTTCTGAAGGCCATGTTCATGATGAGCATCTAAGACCCTGGGCAGAGTCTGACAGCCTGGGCTGAGTTACCTCACCCCCTCTGTCTGAGGATGGATTCTAGTGAGGGATCCTGATTTATTGCTGTTTCCTCCACTCTGTGTCCTTCACTAAAGGCTTGAGCCACAACGTGGGGACCATAACACAGTCATCTAGCACTGACAATTCAATGTGTGAAGTAGGATTAGGTCCACCCATGACCCAGAGGATACAGAGAATTACTTACGGTGGACATGGAACTGCACAGATAGTGTCTTAGGGTCAAAGTTTTGCATTATCATTTCCAACGTGTAGGCTCCGGTGTCATTCTGAGTGACGTTCTGTAAGAGCAGGGATCCATTGCGGTATATTGTCTCTCTGCCACTGTATGCAGGCCCTGTGAGATTCACATTAGTTGACGTTATAAATCGTGCAATTTCATTCCTTTTATCATCATTTTCTCCCTTGAACCAGTAAAAGACTCGGGGTGTCTCTCGCAGATTGTGGACAAGTAGAAGAACATTCGCCCCTTCAGCAACGTGGTGCGCAACTGCTTTCACAGAGACTTGGGCCGTGGAGGGAGAGCTCCAGTAGATCAAAAGTGAGGCTAAGAGTGAAGAGAGAAAAATCTATCAATATTAGATCTCTGCATTTGGTAGAAATTGAGACCTGAGTGTGTTCAACTCTCAGCCTTGGTGTGTGTGTCCTATAGGGGGAAGTTAACAGCATCACCGCCATTTCTCAGTACCCCTGAATCATTCCACGGAATGAAACTGCCTTCTCGGGTGTCTGCACAGCTCACCCCTCATCCCTCAGATCCCTGCTCACACT